TTTCCACTGTTTCTATTGGGTTTCATCTCTAGCCTACTCCAACTTATTTGGGACTAAAAGGCTTTGTTGTTGTTTATTTATTTATTTTTTTTTTGTTGTTGTTGAATTTATACTTATCGGTTTTGGTTATGAAAATTTGTTCATAATTTTTTCAAGATATATATATGGAATTGAAGTAAGGTGTGTTCCAAAGAGACGTGGAATTGAAGAGGTATAGATTTACACTACGGATATTGTTCGCACAATTGTATAAACTAAAATATTTTCAAAGTTAGTCAAAGTTTATGTTGCTATGATGGGTAGATTATTAGGTGAATGGTAGTCTCGAATTCAAGTTTTAGGATTTATTGGTGAACCAAACACTTCCTTTTACGTTTTCTATAAGTAGTGGATATTTTATCATCTTGCGGGACTCTTACCTTATGATGGGTTCATATCATGTAATTTCAATCTATTTTTAGAAATGTTTTCAAATATATGTATATGTACTCTTTGAGTCAGAGCAAATATGTAGATAAGGTTAGACTTATTTTAAGCTGTAATTTTTTTTTTAACACCCAATAGTATTTCGCAATTATAGACTAATGTCGGGCCGAATGTGCGTGCACAGCCGAGAGCCCACTAGTACTAGTATAGGTACATAAATAAACAGCATATAAACCAACTCCTTAATAACATCTCCCTTGGTAAAAGTACCAAATACGACAGTACAACTCACCATAGCTCAATTCAGTTACAATTTACAAACCAATTCCAGCATTTACAGCAACAAACACTGTGCCTATTGAGACGATTTCTCTTAATATTCGAACGTGCACGTCCTGCATAGCCAGCTGCAAACCAGCATTAGTTAAAAGTTTATTCTAAGGTGACCGCCTCAATTGTAACAATCTTGTATCTCTCTATTTACACGCACTTTGGTGGGAAGGAAAATGATGCATGGACTACATTAGTGTTTGGCTGAGATAATGAAATTCCCACTCCCATGTCTCTGTCTTTCAGCTAATGGCTTCAGCAAGAATGTGCAGGACATCAAGTTCCGGACTGCAGAGGGAGAAGAGAACTTTTCTTTCCACTGATGAAAAAAGAGAGCTCGGCTGGGGCAACCACCGATTTCAGCCATTCTTGAAGCTCTTCCCCTTCTACTTTCTCTCTTTCTAAAATTGTCAGTGTTTATAGAATCAGTGTGGATTTATGCATACTCTATGTAATTTTCGAAGTTTCTCTGTATGTCAAATCAGCTGCAAGACAGCAAAATAGGGCTCGCTACAAATAGGGCTCACTACAGTCATTTGTTTCCTTTTCAAATTCTTTGAATGGAATTATTTTCTAAAAACATATACTTTTCCGACGTTTCTCAGATTGTTCATCAAATAAAAATTGACGATGTAATGCAAGGAAATAATATAAAATAAATAAATAAATAAATAACAGCAGTGCAGATCACCTTCCAAGTGGGCCCCGAGACCCTCCAAGACGGCTGGGTTTGCACGAACAACC